GAACGAAATGATCGAATTTTTAGAGGGAAACCTTCTTCCCAAAGAATGGTTCTCTCTAGAATTTCCTCCACCATCACTGCTATTCTCAAATTGGGGTTTCTTCGTGACTGCCCTTCCTCGAGGCGGATTCTCGCGACTGGAATCTCCCTCCTGACTGTTGCCGTCCTCCACCAAGGCCACCGGACTGCGTATTGCTATGGCGTCCTCTAGCGTCCTCCACTAGGGTTCAATCCAGATTGTCTCCTAATAACCTCCATTAACGGCTAAACTGGTCGTTAATGGTTGTTATCAGGTTTGAATTTTGGTCCTGGGCTTCCTTTGTTGGGCCTATATGTAGGCTTGTTACCATTTTGGGTTGTATTTGGCCAAATGGCCCACTCTGTAATTATCCCTTATTATTTATATATATTTGCTTAAAATTCCAAAAAAAAAAAAGAAAAAGAAAATCAAATAACTTATCTTCTAATCTCTTGAATTTTCAAAATCCCATTCAAGTCGTGTCTTAGAAACCATAAATGATTTAGATATGTGTACAAATTTTGAATTTTGAAAATTAAGAATTATTAAATGGAACAAATATTCTATTTTTATTTTTCATTGTGTAATTCACAAAATCCATGTGATGTGATAAAATTAGAGAACCTTACAATAAATTATAAGAAATAATGCCTTCTTATACCCATGCCTCAATCAAAATACTGGTACTAAACAAGGTTATTATAAGAAAATCTTGGATGGCCGGCCCAATGGAGAGAGTTGAACCAAACTTGAAGTAACGGCAATACCAGATTCAAACTTGGTAATGGAGCCTCAAGCTCCATTGAGATTGTTGGGGATGACGAGGTGGAGGTGGAGGTGGAGGTGGAGGCGTAATATGTCACGATCCGCTCCGGCCGTGTAGATTTTGTCGGCGGCTCTGTACTCTCTTCTCCTTTTGTTGCTCATGGTTTTGCTCAAAAGAGGGAATGTCCCTGTCAATCCAAGCTCTTCTTACAGCAGCAGAGTCCTTCACAAACTTTGTTCAGAACTAATGTGGGATAGGTACTCGACAGTATGTCTGAGAGAAAAAAAAAACTAGCAAATTACACAGCCAAGGACTTCCAAGGTGAGTATACTGTTCAAACTTAAGTGGGTTAAAATTTATTGTAGCTTCTACTTTGCTTAAGCTTAATCTAGTATTCTCAAACTCCGGTACTCCAAGACCTTTATCTTACGTTATCTGACTAGTTGGCCTGTTTTGGTCTTGATTCAGGCCAAATGGTTACATTAACAACTCCCTTTCCACCTTCATACTCTATTCAAGCTTGGATTGGTTTTCCACTCTCCAACCTCACTTCTTCCTTTACAGCAATACGACTAAAATGATAAGCAACCTGCTCGGATGCAACTGAGGCCATGCTATTGATGTTGATTCCAATATGGTTGTCTGGGGTATCTGGTGCCTCTTTGTGCCCATTAGCAGTGTCTAATTCAACAGCCACTATGTAGTTTGAGGGGTTCCCATCATTTGTTGAGTTGAAACTTCCGAGGTAGTGATCCCCTTCAGCTCCAGGAAATAGTGGTGAAGGAGATAAAGTGAAGGCGAGGCCATAGCCCCCTCCGTTGACATCTTTAGGGACTATTTCAAAAACAAAGTATATACTAAAGGAATTAGAAGAGTTGACAGAAGAAGAATTTTTGGTGAACAATTGTATTGGTTGGGAATAGAATGCATGGTCTCTGACATTAGTAGAAGATTTGTTAGTAAGCTCAAGAGCTCCACTTGGTGGGATGATGGTAGCAAATCCATCTAGAATAAGGTTTGTTTAGTTGAATCCATATGGCTGTTGGGTTGAATCCGTTGTAGATGAAATCAATGGATTGAATAGGCACAACAATATCAAAAAGGAGGGAGAGAAGAAGAGCTGCGGAAATGGGAGCAACCATGGAGTTAATAAACCTATTATTGGAGCTATGAGATTAAGCATTAATTCTCAATTCAAAGGGACCTTGCTACACCATCATGTTTTGGTTCTTAAGTGGCCATTCGTGCACGCTCTGAAAAAAATATATTATGAACTAGGTATTGGTCGCACTGTTAGTGCGTTGTTTTGCAATACCGACCATAGTTGCATATTGGTCTAAAGGAGTATGTGCATTACTTTCTTTCCCTACGCCAATCAAGCTATAAGCTGCCGAAGTATCTCACTGCTAATTCAGTAATATATCTAGCTTCAAGCAGTACTTGAATAACCAAGGGTCTCTTAACATGCAAGTTAAAAGCTGGGAACCGGGAAAGAATTTGTGGAGGGAAGCACTAAGAATCACCAGAGTAAAATGGTTGCGAGGAATCAAGGAGAGATGGGCTGGCGAGTGGCTGTATTTGAGGATCAAAGGGCCTTCTTGCAGCCAAATTGTTAGTCCGGAAGAGAGTTTCTGAACCATTTTTATCCTTGCTTTTGATAATAAAAAAAAACATAAAAAAAGGGTATTTTTAAGGATCTCAGCTGAAGTAGCTTTTTCCATATCCAACTGCTTTGTTGAGGTATGCTAAAATCCCCAAAACATCTCCTTCTGATTAAGTATTTTTGTTTGAGTCATAGGTTGTTCTGAGTATTTGACACGAGTTTCCATTTAAAGCTAAGAAAGCTTAAACCACCATTTAAAATGTTGAAGTAGACTTCACTCGTGACACCACTTGACCAATGAATTGGATTGGAATAGTTATTCGGTGTGTATTTTCCGTTTACGTATCATAGCTCACCATTAAATAGTTTTCAAATTTAGCTTTTTCATGAATTGATCATTTGAGTTAATTAAGTCTTAAAAGGACATTCCTCTCTGTTAATTGGTAATGATAAACCAAGATGACTCTCGTATTGTTATGACACCCCAAGGCAACACCGAAATCAGCATAATAAATTTGTTTTGACTAAGATCATTATGCAGCCCCCTTGAAACAAAGCAGTTGATGGTGAGATGGTGATAGTTGATTCATTTTCTTTTTTTCTTTTTTCTTTTTTTAGATGGTAACATTTTCTAACTCTGTTATATATTCGAAGTTGTCAAAATTTCTATGTTTGCAGACCCATAAGAGTGAGATTCTTTATTTGATTATTCATTTACTTGCTGAAAAAAAGAAGTGGAAGCCCCATAATTGTGAGATTTGATCGAGTCAATAATCATTAATCCATGAAGAGTTAAATCTGTTCTGTTTGAATGTGATAGAAGGTGCAGGGTGCATTAAATTGTACAGTTCACCATGAGGCATGTTTCAATTTTTCTGAGTTGTGTAGGTTTGTCAGTCAAGACAACTTTCAAAAAGGGGGCCATTTTAAGCACAGATTGACCTATATTAACAAATTAACATATGGTAAATAGTCCCATAGCTCTTTGAGAAGTGTTGATTGTAAGCCGCTGATAGATAAGGTCGATGCTCGGTTGACCCACTGGAACACCATCAACCTCTCTCTGGCTGGTAGGGTTGAATTATTACGTTCTGTTCTTTACTCTTTCCTCTATCACTGGCTTTTCAAATTCAAAATCCCATGGGGCTGCAGAATAATTTTGGAAAGTAAGTTCAAAAATTTTCTGTGGAGTGGTAAAACTGAAGTTAAGAATATGTCACAGATCAAATGGAGCCAGGTTACTCTTCTGTACGCTGAAGGAGGCTTCAACCTGAGGGTAATTTCAGATATTGATGTTGCGACAAAAATTTTAATCTGCTGGGATTTTGTTCAGAAGAAAGATAAGCTAAGGATACAGTGGATGCATGCTAGGTATTTGCAAAAATCTTCCTTTTGGACTGTCCTCCCTAGAACGTCTGATTCAGCATCTTGGAAGCAAATTCTGGATGTCCGCGACCAATTAATTCCTTATCTTGTATATACTGTTGGGTAGTGGTCAATCCTTTAATCTGTTACATGATCCTTGGTGTAGTAATTTATCTGTGGTTCAGAGGTTTGGTGCTGTTTCTTTTCGGAATTTTGATAACAAGGCAATGGCGGAGACCATTATAGTCAATGGCGCATGGATTTTCCCAGCAGACTTCCCTCCTTTGGCCCGTACCTTTATTTCTTCACTGAGTCTTCATGATGGGCCTGATAAAATTAGTTGACAGCATGGAATTTTTTCATTAAAGGCGGCTTGGTCAGTTTGCAGACACAGAGCGCAGAGGTTTAAATGGTTGAGGTTATGTTGGAATATCTGCAGACTCAGAATTGCGCTTGGGGTGTCCATCATTCTTCATAACAAAAATCTTTCTTTTGTCAATTTGCGGAAGAGAAGGTTCTTGGTTCCGTCTATATGTCATAACTGTTTCTCCCACGAGGACGCAAATGATCATTTGTTCTGCAACTGTTCGTTGGCATACAATGTTTGGAGGTATTTGTTTGATCTGTTAAAACTTCCCTTTCATCCGTTTTGCTCCATGGAACAGCTAGTGGATTGGTTTTTACTTCATAATACATTGAAGAGTGTCAGGTCTCAAGTTTTGCGGACGATTTTTTCAGTTACTATCTGGACTTTGTGGTCGGCTCGCAACAAGGCTCTTCATCAAGGTCTCTGTGATGATACTGATCGCATCTTTAAGCTTGTTGTCTGGGAAGTTCTCAATTTTTATTACTTCTCGCTGGCTGATCTGTTAGCTTTGTTTTAGTTAAGCATGATCTTGTTGTCCTGTTTTAGTTTTGCTTTGTATTGGAAATGTGTTTTCTCCATTTCTGGGTTTTCTTTGTTTTAGGAGGCATGCCTCCTACATTGTTGTAACTCTTTCTTTTGCGTTTATAATACACCCCATTCAGAAAAAAAAAAAAAAAAAAAAAAAAAACATATGGTAAATAATTTTTAAGCAATTGAAAACTTTCAAAAAGAGGGTCATCAGAGTGTAGTATTAGCTTGAAAATACAGATTAACATATGGTAATAATATGTATCCATTTAATGCACAAAATTGTAGTCCACAATAATACAAAAATAAGAAGAAACAAGTCTGCTAAATCATATTTTAGGATGCCTCTATAACTAGCATGGATTAGGAACAACCCAAATGGGTGCTGGGTCAATTTTTTGCCAATCATCTTTATCTTCGTTAATAAGTTCTATACTCTGATTCTCCATGTCAAACCTGCCCGTGTCATGACCATATATGTCATTTTCACCCAAATGATCACAATAGTACTCATCAGTGAAGTAAATCGAATTTCCTTTACAATATGGAAAACTCTTTGCTGAATGTGACACTGATTGATTTGGACCCAAAAACAATACCTGATCATCGCCTAATGATGCCAGTTCTACCCATTTTTTCTGACTGAAATCCAACTTGTAAACATGAAACAACTTTGTCAAGTGAGGTCAAATCCAGCATTGATTCTCTTCATCAAGAAGATCGGCCTCATGAACAACCACACCATCCCAGCGAACATGATTCCCAATATACCTCAAAATAAGCAAAAGATCACCCTTTGATTCCACAATGTAACTTTGAATAGTATAAAGATTATCTCCAAGAGACTTTTCAAATTTCCATTTTTTCTCAGGAAAAATGGGTTGAATTTCCATCTTTTTTTTAGGTAAAGAATTATTGAAATCCCAGATTTCAACTGAACCTGTTTCACCCAAAGCAAGAACATGATCATTGTAGGATATGATATCACAATAGCATTGATGTGCACCGTCAAGGGCAGTCCATTCATGGCCTCCACACTTCTAAAAGGCAAGCTTTGAAGCAATTGCACCATATATTACTGCAACCCAATAGTTGTCACAATGAATTGGGGCTGATGACAGAACACCTTTCTTAATATCCCGAACAAAGAAGGAATCAATGCTTGTTTTGCAAACTTCACCGCTAACACGAAAAGGAGGAAGTTTAATCAAAACCTCCAAGAATGGACTGAAGATGTATGGTATTGCTTTTGGGTCCAAAAAAATCAACCACCCATGGGATGATCCTTTGCAATTAACCAAGTCTTCTGGGATTTTTTTCAGCTGCTTGTAGGCTTTTTTCTCTGCAAAATTGTATAAGCAACGCCTAATTTTATTGTCTTGATCAGTACCAGGAAGCAAGACCAATGGTTGATCAAACAGTGGACTCTCTAGTGATGATATTCGGGCTTTTGCAAGAGAGCACCAAGAATGACATACTGTTGTGGCACCAAGCAAGTCGACGACAGACAATCGGGTCAGGATTGATTCCCACAAGTCAATGGGAAGTCCGGGCCAATCCGGTAATGAATCTGATGTTTTTCTTCTTTTGGTGCGATGACCCAAATAGGCTTTGTTGGCAATCAAAGCCATGTCTAGGCTTCAATCAATATTACTAATTTCAGGAATGTGACTAGGGGATATGAGAATCTATGAGGGGAAGGAGGCTCCGCAGATCAGATCGACGAAAGGAAGGGGGATAGGAATGGTGGATGTGTTTCTGCTGCGCCAGAGGGGGGATAAAGCCGATCGCTCTAGTTTTCTTGCTTTCTTGTTGTCTTGAATTGTGAATATATATTTATATATATATGTCTGTGTGTGAAGGTACAGGGAAGTTCTTATGAGAATAGGAAATTATAAAAAGAAAGTTCCTGTTAGAATAGGAAATTATAAAAATGGATTAATTTCTCTCCAAGCAACATTAATACATACGGCCAATGATTTTGTAAATACTAACATTGGCTCTATATTTTATTTCTATTTAAATTTTTTTTTTCAATCCTCTTTATTTATTTATTCTTTTGGATTTTGTAATTGTCATGTGCTATTGTGTGGGATCTTTGCGCTAATGTTGTGAAATTAACATTTTTATAACTTAGTTACCCGTCATTGAAAGTTAAAAACCAAGCATATTTTACTTTTAAAAATAGTATGGGGTTTATTGAATGCATTAAAGTTAGCTGTAACTGAGACTAGATTTTATCCGCTTTGCACACACTCTCAGTGATTATTGTTTTATGGTTAACACGCGTCCATATATATAAATGCCAAGAACTTATCTGACAAAAGACGGAATGTCCCATTCAATCCAAGCTCTTATTGCAGCAGCAGAGTCCTTCAGATTCATAAAAAGAATCGTAGCTCTGATAAAGTCGCAAACTTTGTTCAGAACAGAGGATTGGGAAGCCCAATTTACGAAGGAATGGCAATCCTTAGAGGAAACAAGTGGAATGAACTTCCACCTCCGAATGGAAAATGAGTTGTTTCAGCTGATATGGAACCAAGTGGATGGAGAAGGGAATTGGGGGTGGGAATGTGGGATAGGTGCTCCACAGTATGTCTCAGAGGGAGAGAGAAAAAAAAAAAAAAAAAAACTAGCAAATTTCACTTAAATTACAAGACCAAGGACTTCCAAAGTGAGTTACACTGCTCAAACTCAAGTGGGTTAAAATTTATTCTAGCTTCTGGTTTGCTTAAGCTTAACCTAGTATTCTCAAACTCCAGTACTCCAAGACCTTTATCACACTGTTATCCGACAGTGTTTTGGCTTAGTTCAAATCTGTTTAACAGTCTTACTTAACCTATTCTTGGGGCAATGAGATCAAGCATTGATTCTCAATCCAAAGGGACCTTTGCTACACCATCCTTGTTCAGTTCTTTAGTGACCATTCCTGCGCGATTTGAAAAAAAATATATTATGAACTAGGTATTGTTTGCACTGCTATTGCATCTTTTTGCAATATCGTCCATGGTTGCTTATTGGTCTAAAGGACTATACGCATTACTTTCTTCCCCTGCGCCAATCAAGCTATAAGCTACCGAAGGATCTCACTGCTAATTAAGTAACCTAGCGAAGGGTCTTTTATGTGGAGGGAAGCACTAGGAGTCACCTGACCTTAGCTCAAGGCTCGTTGTTGAGGCTCACATCAGTTGAACTCAAATAAACTAAAAGCTCATTTTCGAGTTTCTTCCATGTGTGCTCGTGGCTCATACACATATATAGAATAGTCAAACTGGTTGCACCTTGCTGATGAATTCTCTCAATAGCTCATTGACATGAGTATTTTCTAGGAAATCCTTTTTCACCACATATACATAATACATATTACAGAACTCAACCCTAAGTCCATTCTGTAACCCAACCACACAACTAGTCAGCAATCCTACTAAGCTTGAGACTGGCTAAACTGAAATGAATGATACATCAGTATTTGTAAAAGAAACATTCTCTTCCTTTTCCCTCCATTTCCTTCCTTTCTCTTCTCATTTTTAGCACTAAATATATAATCATTTTCAGAAATAAATTTATAACATTTCTTTCTTTTAACTTCCCCAATCCCAAATGGCCTCCTAATAAAAGGCAGACAATTGGAGCATCAACTTAAAATTGACATGCCAAAGTGAAAAGTAAATAAATATATGACAGTGAATACCACAAAAACATTAGAGTTGATTTTCCTAGTATAACATATATCAAACACGGCAGGGAGAATAGCCATTTTCCTCATCTATAAGGAGAACAGAGAAAATATAATAAAATAAATAATATAAGGAGTTATTTCCTCAACTTCAGCTAAAATCAAGAAAACCAAAAGCTTAAAAAAACCCTAGATGCATTAACTTCAACATCAATCTCACAGTTCACCGCACTATGCCAGCACTCAATGAAAGAATGCAGTCTCCATCAATTCCAAGTATTATATTGATTCATAAATTAAATGCCTTAGAACTCATAGTTGAAACTATTGTCACAAGTAAAATATAAAATTGCTATGGAAACAAAAAGGATCAAAACAAGCAACCGAATACGGAATTAGTCCCGAAGGTCATACTTTTCGCAACCAAGATATTCAACAAGTTGTCTGACTAATTTTGGCTAAAGAAAACCATTAATTGCATATCAACATCAGTAGTAGCAGCGCGGTTTGTCTTGCAAATGAATCCCTCCGAAGTTTGAACCAACCTGCTAAGCCCCAGTTCAAGAAAAAGGTAAGAATTAGTGGAAACATTAGTGATTAGTGAATACACCGTAAATATTTAAGCAAAAACACTAACTTTGAATTCACAAGATCTTAAACTAACAAAATGCCAAATAGAACTATAATGTCGGACTAAAATAAATACTGAACGATACTCATATCCTATTTATTTTTTATTATTATTATCAAAAAAAAAAAAAAAAAGTGGATTTATTCAATTCATTAACTTTTGTCAAAATTGTAATGACCCCCGTGACAATAATCTGAACTGTATCATGGTTCGTGAATCATGATGTAAAGACTCAAGAAGTCAAATATAAATTTGGCCAAGTGAGGATAATATTTTACAGGCATGATATGAGAGATTGAAAGGACCAAGTTGAAACTTTCCCAAAAAAAAAAATTGTTTATACAGTATCACTAAGGGAAAGGAGAAGCAATTTTATTTTATAAAACAAGTAAATAATAGAAGTAAGCATTTAAATAGTATCATCATGAAAGAAGATAACAAATTACCCATTCATCCCTGCAATGTTTTTGAATTAAAAAGTGCTCCACTTATATGTTGCATTTCTTTGCGTCTTCTTAGCAACGGAACAGGCATAAAAGTTTTCCACCTTCATATTAGACGAACTGAAAATAAATGCTAGAAATCATTCGAGCACTCTTATTTTGGTGATTCAATCCCTTTAGCGATTGCAGTCAAATGATCAGATTCTACACAAAAACTATGTCTGAAAACTATCTACCAATTTCCCAGAAGATATTCTCTCAATAGTAATGCTTCTACAAACGGATTGTGGAATATATCCAATGATTCTAACAAATAATCACCAGCAGCAACATTCATCATGAGAAGTGCAGACACACATTATAGCACTTAGGCTTGGATATTCATGTTTTCCTTTGGCATGAACTTCTGAATCATTTTGAGGAGTGCAGGGTCTTGACCTGTAGTGTATAATGGATGTAGTAACACATAAAACGTAGACGCATCTGGTGAAAAGCCCCTCTTGATCATTTCCTCTAGAAATGCCACTGCCTTGTCACACTTTTCCCTTCTCATACATCCTTGGACAATAGTGTTGTAAGTGACACTATTAGGAAAGCAACCAGTATCTTCCATTTTCCTGAGCAGCTCTTCAGCTTTCTCGAGTAGTCCTTCTACACAAAGTCCTTTTATCAGTATAGTATATGTCTTAACGTTAGGCTGCATGTCTTTGAAGGAAAGTTTATCAAAAAGATCCCATGCAACGTCAAACTGTCCATTCTTGCAAAGTCCATCAATGAGGATGTTGTAAATAGAAATATGAGAATTTAATCCATTTCTTTCCATCGTGTGAAATATTGACAACGCTTCAGAAACGTGCCCGTTTTTGCACAGGCCATCCAACAGGACACAGTACGTGTGAGTATCTGGAATTTGGCCCCTAGCTTGCATCTCATTCAGAAGCTTTCTCGCTACAGCACATCTACCATTTCGGAACAACCCCTGCAGCATAGTTGTGTAAGTGACAATTGTGGGTTCCAATCCTTTACAAGGCATTTCACGCAAGAGATACATGGCCTCATCAATCTTCATCTGCATGCAATATCCATTGATTAAAGTGTTACAGGTGATAGTGTTAGGCTCAATTCCCCTGTCCTCCATGGAATTGAAAGCTTTCATTGCTTCATCCATCTGGCCTTGCAAACAATATCCATCGATTAAAGCATTATAAGTGACTACATTAGGATCCTCCCCTCTTTGAATCATGATTTTAATTATACTCTCTGCATCTCTAACCATCCCTTCTTTGCAAAGTGCATCTACCAAAATATTGAAGGTACATACATTTGGAAAAATTTTCAGATCCACCATCTCATTCAGTAGTCTTTTAACCTCTTTCCATCGACCAAAATTGCAAAGTCCGTGAATCAAAGAATTGTATGTGATAACATCAGGCAACATACCTTTCTCAATCATTTCGGAGAAAAAGACCAAAGCATCATCTACAATTCTGTCCTTGCAGAGACTATCAATTATGGTGTTATACATTGCTAAGTTAGCCCTTGTTTTCTCGATAGCCCTAAGTAGCCCAATGGCCATGCTAGTATTCCCTGCTTTGCAAAGACCATTTATCACTGTTCCATACATAATTTCATCAGGCTCAATCTCATTCTCCCTCAACAGCTTGTTGAATAACCCCATTGCCTGGGCAATTTTATGTTCTAAGAAAAGCCCTTTTATCAGGGTGTTGAATGTAGTTACATCAGGTGCACAACAACCACGTTTAAGTTGGTCGCCTAAGGTAGCAAATCCAAAATCGACTCGATTGAGGTGGCAATAACAGTTTATTACGATGTTCATGGTGTAATCATTAACTGGGATACCCAAAACAAGCATTTGTTTGT